TGTTATATCACTGTAATAAATTACATTTTACAATATATTCACATATGAAAGTTATTTTAAGTTCTAATAATATTTAATCATATTTTTCAGCTTCTTTTCTAGTATGTACCTATTCCTATATGACACCATAGGAACCGTTATGCAATGCACATTAATATCTCTTATGCAAAAAAAAGCATGAGGCTGACAGGACAGGCATCAATATCAGCTGTGATCTCCAAATGACAAATGTTTGTTTTTCTGGAATATTGTATCCTGTCATACTGTAATCAATCTGATTATATCAGAGCACTGCGACGACATAATTTATTAGATTACACAGACACGCGCTTCTCAGAAACTGTAAAGTGTGACAGCAATGTGAATTCTTGTTAAACTATCTGTTTTCGCCAGCTACAGATAAGAGATAAGATGTGAAGTTCCTGATGCTGTGATAGATGAAACAGACATTCACTCTCTTCCAGGGAAAAAAGTTTGTTTTGTTTTCTTACAAAACCCTCTCAACCCCTTCTGACAAGCCTTTTTAATGCATTTCCCATTGAATCATAACAGGGTTTAGCCTTTACATGATTTGCTACTTGCTAGTCTTTTGCAGCATCTGATTAGACTGCACACGCTGAATTATTTTACAATGTGGTAAATAAACAAAGCTTTTACAATAAAATAGTATTTCTACTTACTTTGTCTTTTTACTTACAAATTTCATGTTTAATTCAACGTGTCACTTGCTGTTTCTTTGTTAATATTTATGACATTTACTTGCTATTTCTGAGTGAAAATTGTTTTAAAGTACATCCTAGACCAAGATAGTTTTATGATGAATCATCAACATTTTTGGTCTGTTTTTCTGGGTGGGGAAAAAAGAAGAAAAAGAGTGAATGGCCTCAAAACTTAATGCACATGGAATAAATGCGATGAATCTAATTTTTTTTCTATCATGGATTCGTTATAAATGCATGAAGAAACTATTTACAATTCAAAAGTAAACCAGAATAAGTTTACTGTTCTTGTTTAAAAATTCTGAATTGTGACATTGTTGGCTCCTTTATTATAAATTGCCTTTATTTCAGATGGAAGTACCTGCTAAAGGAGCAAAGTTGCAGCTTGTGCATGCAAAATTAATTTTAGTTAAAGCCCACCATGCTGCTTATTTGATGGTTTAATCATAAAGTATATACATTAACTAAAATATGTTGCATGCAGTCTCTGAAATAAGGATTATATTACATCACTAATGTTTTACAATCAGTCAGATCACAGCTGTTTAAAATAGATGATGAGGTAACACTTAATATACAACAATGACATCATAACATAATTCATCAAACACACTGCAGTTAACGTCAGACTCAATAATCAGCATGAAGCATGTCTCAAATTTAATCGTCCATTGCGTTCATAATGGCCTGAGTAAATAAAGTGAATTAGCAGAACACCACTGATGGTAACGATTGACCTCAACAGGCCAATTCATCAAATGGCCATCTCTGAAAACTCAAATTGCTGTTTGATTATTTGTACTGCAACTAAAGGGCGATTAAAGCAGAAAGGCGAATAACCGTTAGCGGTAATACATGCCGTATGAATCTGAAGACAGTTTATTGGTACTGGTTAAGTGTTCTGTTGTATATTGTAACACATTTTGCTGCCCGGATTACCATGGATTTCAAAATACACAAATCTCATGAAACCAAACAAGAACGTATGCAGGTCATAATTCATCCATTTGACATTTTGATTGAAGTAAATGAAGCCTATTTAGGGGACCATAAAGATTTTTTATAGCATTGACAGTGTTTTCATGTGAGTTTGTTAAGAAATATGACCGGAACATGTTTTCATGACATTCATTTAAATAATGATTATCTATTCATTATCATCTGTTGGACGTTTTGAGCATTTAGACGTGCCAGATCTATATTTGGTCAAGTGAAGAAAGTGACGAGAGTGATAATGTCGTTTCCAAAATACACAGTGAACGAGATAAAGAGACCAGAACACAACAAAAAGGACTACATGCTTTCCAACAGCTTGAGAAGTTCGTCGAGACACTGAATTCCAGACTTATTAAAAAACGCATTCATTTTGATATTAAAAACAATAATAGCTTGTTTACTCTTTTTTTTAGACAGACATTGAGCTCTTTCTATACATAAAGGGTAATGCCACGTGATACACTGTATCAAAAAGTAATCAAAGTAAATAATCATCATAGTAAATAATAGTCAAGTAAATAATAAAAGTAAATACTTTTTATCAAAGTAAATTAAAAAATTTAAATTGGCCAAAAAATACTGCTTTCAGCATTACAATAGGGTGAAAGATTCTGAAATTTTGAACTATTAAATATGGGGGGGAATGCATTTAATTTTCATTAAAAAGGTCACAATGAAAAACTGCCCTAAAAATTATCTTTATCTTGTTCATTGTACATATTTTTTTCAAGGTGCATATAATAAACCAGACATGAACCACTCCTCTTCTTTAAAAAATAAAATAAAATAAAATAAAATAAAATAAATCTATCTATCTATCTATCTATCTATCTACACTGAAAAAAATAATATGTTAGATTTACTTAAAAATATAGTGCATCATTTTTGCATTCCTCTTCTTAAGTAAATTTCACATGGAATTTTAAGCAATGTTACCTAAAAATCTTTAGTTTGCAATGCTTAAATGAACGGTTTTGCTCAAATTTATTAGCTGGTTGTAACACAATATTTTAAGTAGTTTATACTAATAAATTTAAGTTATTTCTACAATAAAAGTCTTGTTTACCCCATTATAAAATTTAAGCTCATTTAGACTGATAATTTTAAGTTTTTGTATTTAAAAATACCTAGGCACTGCTCAATACTTAAAACTAGTTTTATATTACAATGAGTGGAAGACATAACAGACAACTGGTGAATATTAAATGACTTCTTTATTTTTTAGTTTTTTTACAAACGCAACTTAAAAAATCTCTTAAAACAGTTTGAAAATGACTAAAAATACAGATTACTGAACAACAGTAAACATTATTTCTACAATAAAAGTCTTGTTTACCCCATTATAAAATGTAAGCTCATTTAGACTGATAATTTTAAGTTTTTGTATTTTAAAATACCTAGGCACTGCTCAATACTTAAAACTAGTTATATATTACAATGAGTGGAAGACATAACAGACAACTGGTGAATATTAAATGACTTCTTTATTTTTTAGTTTTTTTACAAACGCAACTTAAAAAATCTCTTAAAACAGTTTGAAAATGACTAAAAATACAGATTACTGAACAACAGTAAACATTCTCTAACAAATAACAGTAAATATCAATATGCTTTTTAATATTTGTGGTGTTGTATGTTTGTGTGTGTGTGGTATAGAGTGGAGTATGTTGTTTACATAATGTTTGTGGTGTTGTATGCTTGTGTTTGAGTGCAGTGAAGTGCTGAGTATGTAATGTGTGGTGTTGTATGCTTGTTGATTTGCATGCGTGAGTTTTATTTAACAAGACACTTAACAAGTATTAAAAAAAAATTCAACATCTTGTTATTGAAAGTTACCCCCCCCCCCCCCGCTTGGGGTAACTCAGTTTTACAGAATACATCAGGCCAAGAAGGGCAACACATGCATTGCAACACTGGACACTGGAAACACTATTTCTGTCTCTGAAGGACTGCCATCTGGAGAGCCCCCTTGTAGGGTCTTCTTGGGCTATTTTGCACTTTCCACTTACTATAAAAGTAATTTCAAAGCAAACAACACGAAATTTACCATATTCACTCACTTGGCCATGTGGTAATGTGCAATCAGATTGTCAGTGTTCTCTGATTGGAAGACAATCAATCTGTGATCCTGAGTACAAACAGAAATAGAAATGCATATTAATATTAAAAATAAAATAAAATGCATGACAGTAATGACAGTAAACATCTAAGATTTAAATGCTAATATAAGTAAGCAGGATTTTCAGTAAACCGTAAACTTAAGTAGACTTTACTGTATGAATTCAATATACAGATTCTAATCAAAGTTAAAGTTAATCAGTCAAGAGCAGTGAGTCTTGTGTTGATTAACATTCAAAATTGAATTTAAGTCAAATCTGTTTATTTTAATGAGCCATATTTCATGAGTGCTTACATCATTTTTATCTATCTATCTATCTATCTATCTATCTGTTAATTGGGACATTTGGAGCCATGGCAATTTACCTGAATTCACCATAACCTCAGACAACCCATTAACTCTTTAGACCAGGGCCAAAAATCAAACTTCATTAAAGGGGTCATATGATGCGATCTAAATTTTTCCTTTCTCTTTGAAGTGTTACAAGCTCTTGGTGCATAAAGAAGATGTACAGATAAATACTAAATATATTAATTTTTTAATATAAATATTAAAATATATATTTTTCTAAATCAAAAATAAAACACTAAAAACTGAAATCAAATATTAAATAGTAAAGTGACTTTAGACATCATCACATTATAATGTACAGTATGAAAAGATTAAATTGATATTAAAATTAGATTTGCTAACTTTAAATGCACATTTGAAGATTGTTGCAAAGTGAAGGAAAATGAGCATATGCTATTAAACGTCCAATTCAGACCCATACAAAATATACATATCCCTTAAATTTCAGTTTGTTCCTCACATAAGTTATCATATGACAAGCATTACAGCACACAAGTGATATGTGTATGATGGACAGCATTTTTATAATGCTTTTTGCCCTTTTTAGCAGTATAAATCATCCACTTTTGTTGAATGGAAAAGCCTGGATATTCTACCTTAAAAGACACAATGACAAGATGACAAACAGTCATTTTTGTGCAAACTATTCATTTAAGACCATGCATTTTCCCACTATTCCTCAGGAACGTTTTTACAGTTCACTGAAAGCTTTCGATAAATAGGAAGAAAGCCACATATTTCAAAAAGACTGATAAAAGCTTAACCAAACATCGACGAGTTGCCTAAATGGGTTTGTTTTGACATGTGTTTTTCAGAGTTTCAATGCTCCACGCTGCTCTAAGATGAGGGTATGGAAAGAGGTCACCCTCGCCTTCATCCTGTTTGGTGCCTCGTTTTTCCTCCTGCTTATGAAAACCACATCACCTGTTGGGTCTTCCTACCCAAAGGCCTTAGGGATTTCATCAGACCCTTCCTCACAGCCAGCAGCTACAGCACTTGAACCGCCACCATCATCCTCATCTTCACTCTCATCAACCTCATCGAGGAAGCCAGTGCCGCGCCGAGCGGTCAGAGCCACTGAGGACATGGGCTCTCTTCTCTCAGAATGTAAGAGAAACCTTTTTTTTGGTTTTCCTTCGCGACAGTGCCAGCGTGGATTAGGTCGCGTTGACGCAGACATGACGGAAGGATTTAATATGTCATTCTACAGTCGCCGTCGTGTTTATACTACAAGCCTCTGCAGCCAGTGCTGCTCACTCACATAACTCCTCATTTAACATTTGGTCTGTCAGCTCACTTGATATTTAAGACAAGACCGCCCAGGTGAACAGAGTAGAACATTTAACTAGTAGATATAATTCAAGTTCAAACAAGCTTTAATGTCATTCTGTAATATGTGGAGACATACAAGGGAATGAAATGTTGTGCCTCACAGGACCACAGTGCTACATATAGACAGACAAGTAATCCTATAAATGTATACATATAACCTATATAAATGCACATATACTTATATAAACCTGTTTACAGAGTAATCTAACTATACTTTACACGAAAAAACTTTGGACGCACTTGTATTTAAAAAAGAAACATCACATAGTGTCATACTTGCCCAGTTGATTGATTAAATTAAGAATTGCAAACATTCTTTGGCATTAAAGTTTTCTGAAATGGTACATTTAAATGTGCAAAGGATGTGTCTTATTAAATATGCACTCATTTGCACTGATAGCCAGAAGGATATAGACAGGTTCAAAATTATTGTTTCATTTTGTTGACATATTAGAGTCAAAGGTTTTTACAGAGGAGATTCTGGAATTCTCTTTCACGTAAATCAGAAAATACTGTCAAAAGATGGTTTTATCGGTGCAAAGCATATATAAACAATGCTCTCTGTAAAAACCTCAGAATATAGATAGGAATAAAACTGTAAAGTTTTGTCTATGTAGCTAAGTGCTATAGAAGTAGAGAAAAACTTTAAATATACTTATTATAATTTAAAGGGGTCATATGATGTTGCTAAAAAGAACATTATTTTGTGTATCTGGTGTAATGAAATGTGTTTACGTGGTTTAAGGTTCAAAAAACATTATAGAGAAAGGAAAAATTTAAATTGCATCATATGACCCCTTTTAAATCTATAGACACAAACATATAGAGTGCAATAAAATAAAGTGGATGTTTTCTTTCCATTGGTCTGAAACAACATCTCAAAACTGACACTTACTTACTTGCCTTAACTCATAAGGTACACTGGACGTTTTGTTGATGTGCTGAAAGTTTAGTTTAACTAAATTTAGTTTATCATCGTCAACAATATTTTTCACACCTTTTCTTCAACCCCTTCATACCCTATGCTGAAACGGCTGCATGAACAGTGTGTACTTGCATGCAAAAGCAATTTTCTTAATACACACCCGGACTGACTCGTAAAGACTGCAAAGAAAAGCAGACCTATTCTCATCTTACATATAGAGCAGTGTTTCCCAACCTGGTACACATTTTGGGTGTCTCCCTTAGCTGACACCCAACTTAGTGTCTCTAATAAATGGAATCAGGTGTGTTTTTGATTAGAAAAAACACACAAAATGTGCACTATTAGGTACTGCAGGGCCAGGGTTGGAGTAGCAAAAGGTCAGTGCAAATATGCTCTAAAGCCATCTTAAAGATGGACATAATCCTGCTTTACAACTGATCATTACAACGGTTTAAAGTGAGCGATTTAATCCTTAACAACAGAATGTGCAGGTTAAGCCCTAGAGTTTGACGCATGCATTCACTTCCATCAAAATGTATTAGGTATGTTTACATTCACTAATTTTTGCATTTAGTTGCACAGCCTTAACCTAGACAGAATTAAAAATGAAGAGCACATGGAAACCTGAAGCTGAATTTTCCCACTTTTCAGATATGTCTCCAGAAAATAAGATTTAAGCAATTTCACGTGTCGCCTTTAGAGTTTCAAACTGTGCTTGCCAAGACACTAAAGTCTCAATCAAAGTCAGATATCTCAAGACCAAGTCATATCGAACATTTCACATTTCTAACTATAAAGCCCAAACATACTGCCTATCCACATTAATTTTATAGTTCTAGGGACCACAGTGAAGGTAGACGCCATAAAAATCTAATTAGACACAGATGAAAATGAAAGAAAAGTACAAAAATATCAAATCCAGGGCTCAACAATATAGATTTTGTTTCTGGACAGCAGTTAACACTATAAATTCAAAACCACACTTTTGCTGGAAAACAATGATATATGATGCTTTAACACATTCTTACGGAATGCTTTCAAGTTATATTTAACCACATGTGTGTTAGCCAGCTAGATTAACAACATTAACTTTGTGGCCATATGACCAATCAGCAGAATTGAAACAACAATGTAGAATACAATGCGTTTGCAAGACATTAAAATGGATGTACAAAATCAGTGAATATAACATTTTCAGTGGCAATGCTGACTCAAAACACTCATGCTGGTCCAATAAACCTATAGAATGAACTGAACATCTAAACCCAACTTTAGCCTTGCTTTCATTTGTCAAATTAAATATGCTTTCCACCCTCAATAAGGTCCATTTTCTTACTGTATTTCAACAATTGTTTTATTTATGTCTACTTTTACTTCTAAGGAAAACATATAACACAAAACTGATACTTCAAGCATACATTACTAAGGTCTGAAACACATACAAGTATGTGAATGCATAGATGTGTCAGACTAATGTAATGCAAGTACGTGTTCCCACAAGAATTGCTATATTAGCACAGTCTTCTACAGCGAGCCATTCAGATCAACTAACATCATGGCAAGGAGAAATACTTTGAAGAAAAACCTAATGAGAAAGTCTTTTGAGCTTTTACACAAAATCCAGAAGATTTTTAGCATTTGAGTTGCTTTTCCCAGGTTTTTTTTTTTTTGAGTAAAATCAGACCTCAGACAAGAACATAATTCAATGTATTTAGTAAAAAACAAGCAATTTGCAAGCAAGTACAAAAAAAAAAAAAAACTACAAGTTCATATGCTTGACAAGCAACTGCTGTAATTCTTACACAGCAACTTGTCTGACCCGGAGTGGCTTCAAAATTCACATCTGAAGCCTGATTGTGCATAATTTATGTTGTAGAACAAAATTCTAAAGTAACATTAAAAACAGACCTTATTTTTACTCATAAATCCAAAACCAAAACCACAGAAACTCTGGAGGGAACCCATGCTAAATTAGCCTGGCTTTGGTTTAATGACATTCAATCGCCCTTTGAGAACTGAGGCTTGTTACCGGCACAGTAACACAAACGCACGTTAAGTATGTTTAATGGCACATTAGTAAACGTTTGGAAAGCATATACATTTGCATACTTGTGTAAAGTATGTTCCTGGCCTGAGAACTCAGTTAAGTCTCCTGAATTATGAAAGAGCAACTTCTAAGTATTAACTTTCTCCTCTGGTGTTTTACTTCCTCTAGTCTCGTACCTCTTCCAAAGCTTCACCGAGGGCGAGCTGAAGAAGGTGATCGCGACCCTGGTGGACCGAAAGGAGAGGAGGATCAGAACCGAGACGGGACGGAGAACCAAACGAGCGCGGAAGGGCCCAAAGCTGTGCTCTCTGCACGAGATCGAGCTCACGGTGAGCGAGCTCGGGCTCGGGTACGAGAGCGACGAGACGGTGAGCTTTAGGTACTGCAGCGGGAAGTGCATCCACGAACGACACAACTATGACTTTGTAATGGAGCACATGCAGATAAATAACGGCTCCAGTGAGAAAGCCCGGCGAGGACGGGATAACGGAAAAAAAGACAAGGCACGCAACGCCCCATGTTGTCGCCCTACAAAGTTTGAGAAGAAAATGTCTTTCTTTGACAACAAGGACAGGTTCTACACCATCCAGAACGTCTCTGCGAGAGCGTGCGGTTGCGTATGACGAACTGTGAAAACGTCAGGGAGAATGTCTATACATTACGGAGGCAACAGAGAACGTTTTAAAATTCCATGGTAACCATAGGAACTTTGGAAAGGGCGACCATGTGACACACAGAAACCATGGAACTATTCGAGAACGTAGGGCAAATTGCAATTCTGAAAAAGATGCTGAGAGGGACCCACAATGCCACCATGGAAAGAGTGAAAGCTACAGAAAAGCGATACGCAAAAAACACAAAAGACAAGGCCTGAATTGTCTAAAGCCTTGGCAACTATGGGATAAAGTTTTGTTTCTGCCTTTTCAGTGGTTACTGGCACTTTTGATTAGCACAGGGCACTGGACTTTAACCAAAGGTGGATCGCTGGTTTAATTCGATAGGACCAAAAGCTGGCGGGAGACTCCTTTCGCCTTCCACTGGAAACTTCTGCAGAAGAACAAGTACAGATATAGTAGTATTTAACCGAAGATATAAATATATATATTAATTGTAGAGGGCTACAGCGACAACTGTATGCTGCTCGCTTTTGTTATGAATCTGAATACTGAAGTATGAAGTGCAACGCAGCTGTGAAAACTACCTCATTTCTTTCTTTGTTTTTTTTTGTTTGTTTCCTTAGAAGAATGTACATGCAATGAATCTGGTTCTACCGCACCCACTTCCTGGGATTACGCTAGTCAGAAATATGAATCGGTAGAGGGCTACAGCGACAACTGTATGCTGCTCGCTTTTGTTACGAATCTGAATACTGAAGTATGAAGTGCAACGCAGCTGTGAAAACTACCTCATTTCTTTCTTCGTTTCTTTTTTGTTTGTTTTCTTAGAAGAATGTAGGCCTACATGCAATGAATCTTGTTCTACCGCACCCACTTCCTGGGATTACGCTAGTCATAAAGATGAATCAGAGGTATACATGTAGAGAAATGCTTCTCGACCAAAAGTCTCCTAGGATGGATATTACCTAAAACAACACTGTCACTTGAAACGTATATGCACACCATTTCAAACCCCTGAATTTGACCTTAAAGCCTTGCCAAAGCATGTCTGATCAAATCCAAGCTTCTCCTGTCCTTGAGACAATTTACACCCTGATATTTATGTTTAAAATAGGAATAGGCAATCCAATTCCAATGGCCAATAGGGAAACGTTTAGCTTAAAAAGTTTTCCAAAAGGTGTCTTCCCTTAAAGATCTTAAAAGTTCATTTTTCTCATGGTCACGTTCATGTTTACATTCTTTTAGACAATGATACTTGAGATACATTGTCTTTTGGAAAGTAATTCCAGGTTTGGTCCTTCTCAACAGCAAACATATACATTTATTATCCTTGAACACATTTATGGACAAGTAATTGTAACCTTCATTTATGCAGATGGAACATTATACTGTTAGAAATAAAGGTTCTTTGTAGCACTTCACATTAAACAAAGATCTGTCCTCATAAGAACCATTTTCTGCTGTACAAGTTCATAAAATTCTTGATTCTTTAGATCAAAGTATTGGTTTTGGGGTTCTAAAGCAACAGTAAATTGGGTTAAATCTCACAAAACCGGTCAACAACATGGGTAATTTCATCCTAGAATCAAATGAAAGGCATGAAAATATATATTTCACAAAGAAAATTGTCTGTTTTTAAAAAAAGGAAAGAAAAAAAAAATTTTTTTTTTTATTTTGACATTGTTCCTGGCTATTCATTGCACTCATTCTCACTACAGTAAAGCAAAAAAGAAAATTAATGAAGTACTATTACTGATGTACATATATTGCAGAAATGTGACCTGGGCAAATTTTCCCATATGCAATTTTCTAAAGCCAAACAGGTACTTAAATTTTGTGCAGCTTAAAATGGTTCTCCTATGACATCAGGCTGTAAAACCCCTTGAACCTTGCACATGCTTCACCCTTCCATAGAAAAAGTTTTTATGTAATCTTTTCTGGACTAAATTAGTTACTGGACTAATTACAGAGCATGAAATCTGTCATAAACGCAATTAACTGATCATTGTATGTGTGAAGATGAACTGCTGAAGAGACTAATGGTGGAGTTGTAAGCAGTTCTAAGCTGTTCAGACGTACAGGATTAAGCATCAAGTTTAGCCTTGGCCTTCCAGAAACATGCTGTAAAAGTGTAGCCAGTCTTTTTACTGCTACATTCCAGTTTAATTCCAGTATATATTACACCGTATTTCATGTAAGTCAGAAACACAAAAGGACAAATCTGGTTTAAACACACAGCGTGCTGAACAATCTGATATAGTTGGATTTGGTCTGCATCAATCAAATATATTTATGTTTAAAATAGGAATAGGCAATCCAATTCCAATGGCCAATAGGGAAACGTTTAGCTTAAAAAGTTTTCCAAAAGGTGTCTTCCCTTAAAGATCTTAAAAGTTCATTTTTCATTTTTCATTTTTTCATTTGTCACGTTCATGTTTACATTCTTTTAGACAATGATACTTGAGATACATTGTCTTTTGGAAAGTAATTCCAGGTTTGGTCCTTCTCAACAGCAAACATATACATTTATTATCCTTGAACACATTTATGGACAAGTAATTGTAACCTTAATTTATGCAGATGGAACATTATACTGTTAAAAATAAAGGTTCTTTGTAGCACTTCACATTAAACAAAGATCTGTCCTCATAAGAACCATTTTCTGCTGTACAAGTTCATAAAATTCTTGATTCTTTAGATCAAAGTATTGGTTTTGGGGTTCTAAAGCAACAGTAAATTGGGTTAAATCTCACAAAACCGGTCAACAACATGGGTAATTTCATCCTAGAATCAAATGAAAGGCATGAAAATATATATTTCACAAAGAAAATTGTCTGTTTTTAAAAAAAGGAAAGAAAAAAAAAATTTTTTTTTTTATTTTGACATTGTTCCTGGCTATTCATTGCACTCATTCTCACTACAGTAAAGCAAAAAAGAAAATTAATGAAGTACTATTACTGATGTACATATATTGCAGGGTAATTTCATCTCAGAATCAAATGAAAGGCATGAAAATATATATTTCACAAAGAAAATTGTCTGTTTTTAAAAAAGGAAAGATTTTTTTTTTAATTTTGACATTGTTCCTGGCTATTCATTGCACTCATTCTCACTACAGTAAAGCAAAAAAGAAAATTAATGAAGTACTATTACTGATGTACATATATTGCAGAAATGTGACCTGGGCAAATTTTCCCATATGCAATTTTCTAAAGCCAAACAGGTACTTAAATTTTGTGCAGCTTAAAATGGTTCTCCTATGACATCAGGCTGTAAAACCCCTTGAACCTTGCACATGCTTCACCCTTCCATAGAAAAAGTTTTTATGTAATCTTTTCTGGACTAAATTAGTTACTGGACTAATTACAGAGCATGAAATCTGTCATAAACGCAATTAACTGATCATTGTATGTGTGAAGATGAACTGCTGAAGAGACTAATGGTGGAGTTGTAAGCAGTTCTAAGCTGTTCAGACGTACAGGATTAAGCATCAAGTTTAGCCTTGGCCTTCCAGAAACATGCTGTAAAAGTGTAGCCAGTCTTTTTACTGCTACATTCCAGTTTAATTCCAGTATATATTACACCGTATTTCATGTAAGTCAGAAACACAAAAGGACAAATCTGGTTTAAACACACAGCGTGCTGAACAATCTGATATAGTTGGATTTGGTCTGCATCAATCAAATGAGCCACAATCCCCAAATTGGTTCATAGATTATTACGATAATCTACAACTAAATTTCTTATATTCGTTCACGTAACTTCTTCATTCTTTGCTGTTCTTTCTCACTGAAAAATACTGTGGTCTAACTGAATAACTCTGAAGTAATTAAGGACAAAACTACAAATGAGATTGGAGTCACGCCAGAATCCGCCAAGCCCTAAACACGTCTTTCCTTCAAAGCTAATGGAATTACTGTAAAAACAATGCAACAGCTAATGGAGCATGCAGTCGTTTTACTCGGATCAATTACATTTCAATTCAGGTGGAAAATTTTTTTGTCATTTATGTATTTAAATTGTAATTAAAATGCAATGTACCTTCTGAATGAAAATGGAATTACCCCGATCTTGCCACACCGTCAAACCCAGTGCAAGGAATTACTCAACTTTAAACAATCAGTACATCCTGCCCTGTGGAAATATCAGCAGTAGACAAGACAACATGTTTTCAATTTGTTTTTAGAAATGTAGGGCACCCTGCCAATGGTGGAACCCAAGTAAGCGATTTAACTGTGTCTAAGCTTGCTAATTGGATACAGAAGGTGATCGCTCGCTTCGATAAGGCAGTACCAGCGTTGTCTGTGCAAATAAAATTGTTTTTTTTTTTGGAAAATTGCAAACAATGAATAAAATCTGTAAATTAACTTAAAGGAATAGTTCTCCCAAAAATTAACATTTGCTTAAAATTTACTCACCCTCAGGCCATCCAAGATGCAGAAGCAATCGTTTCTTTATTGGAGAAATATAACACTTTTCATCACTTGCTCACCAATGGATCCACTGTAGTGAATGGGTGCTATCAGAATGAGTCTGAATATTATGGATATTATTATATCCAATACAAAAATAAAATAAAATACAAATATTATGGATTATTTAGTCAGAAGCAACAGTTTGAAGTTAAAAGTGTCTTGATGATGGATTTGTTTCTTACAAACACACAGCTTTTGGCTTCACAAGACTTTAATAGATGGACTGGAGTGGTGTGGATTACTTGTGGATTATTGTGATGTTTTTTTTGGACTCTCATTCTGACGGCACCCATTCACTGCAGAGGATCCATTGGTGAGAAAGTGATGTAATGCGACATTTCTCCAAATCTGATGAAGAAACAAACTCATCTACATCTTGGATGGCCTGAGGAGGGTTAGTAAATTTTCAGCTAATTTTAATTTTTGAGTGAACTATTCCTTTAAACTAGATGTCACCTAGCATGTAAAAGTTTTTGTCCCCCTCTGAAAAAGCTAATGCAAATAAGACAAGGGGTTCGGTGACTCTACTTCTGTCCATTTATATTGGAGTGGAGTGCTTTAGTGTCTGTATTTGTGTGTACAAATGATTTGAAAGTACTGCGGCAGTATTACAGGAATGCAAATGTATGTGTGTGCTGTTGTACATTTCCCATGTCAACTAATCATGATCAGCATTTGGGAGTGTTGGATTTTTTCACACCAACAGCAGAAATGTCGATGCAGTGCATCTGTATTGTGGATAAACGGTATTTATTGCA